ACTACTACTACATTTAGAGATTAATTTTAGTATTAATAAGTACAAACCATGTAACATGGCAGACAGACAATAGAGACTATAGTTCTATTGACTGTAATCAGTTATTACTGGGTTAATAAGCAATAATTTGTAAACATTCAAGAAACAATGAAGAATGTAAATCAAAAATTAAACCAATATGGAGTTGTTTTTAACTATCTATATACATTTTACCAACAAGGTGTGCAGGCTAGTCAACCTAAACTTACAACTCTCTCACTTTATCTGTTTTATTGTGCGGTGTTATTGTGGCCACGCTAAGCCCCGCCCCTGTCTTTGATGCGCGGCTGTGATTGGCTGACGCTGGTCCTGGGGCAGCTGTCCCGTCTCCGTCTAGACCTCAACCGGGCAGAACCCGCGCGACTGCGCCACGGACACACGGACGAGCTTCAAAACGACTGATACCCGTAGTAGACAGCGCTGTACGGTTTACTCCGGAACGGGACTAACGGGACACGGTGCCGTTTCGCACTTTAAACGGATTGGCTCGCTCTGGCACGGGATTGTGAGAAAGTTTTTTTGTCTATAGGCGCGTTTGAACTCCGGTAGGCTGGAATTTTAACGCTCCCGTGATTTGCTCGGACTTTTTATCAATCGGATTGTGTCGCTATGGCTCGGTTTGAGTTCGGGTTTGCGCTACTGGTGCTCGTGTTCGGGCTCGCGCACCCGTTCGGGGACGAGGAGGAGATGACCTGCGACCCGATCCGCATCTCCATGTGTCAGGATTTAGGCTACAATGTGACCAAGATGCCGAATCTGGTGGGAAACGTGCTACAATCCGACGCCGAGCTGCAACTGACCACATTTACACCCCTCATACAGTACGGCTGCTCGAGCCAGCTGAAGGTGAGAGATTACAACACACACACACACACACACTGTAACCAGACCCTACACACACACATCACACAGAAGTACTGCACTCAGCTTTCAAATCTTGGCTTCATAATGAAGCAACACTTCTAAAAGTATTATAAATCATCATAATTATGTAAAAAAGTAACAAATAAGATAAAATACTAGTAGTATTATTATTATTCGTAATCATTTTTGTTGTTATTATCAGTATTAATTGTATAATGGTCATAGAAAGAGTGTAGAAAAATGATTTATAATAGTAATAATTGTTTATACTATATTTACCCTTAAATAAAATGACAAAGTTGCAAAAATGTGTTTAATTTTATTTTATGTCTTATTGTTATGATGAACATTGTAGATTTATTTTTATGAAGTATTTGTGATGTGCAAATCTTATTAAAGTTATAGTAATATTAAAAAAAAAATATTTAAATCACTGTGCCAATAAAGTACTTACTTATAGTACAGTAGTTTGGATAAATAGGAACCTAATCTGTGCGCACAGCAGGAGTATAGAATCCACACTCACGCACACACACTATACTCTGCCTTACAGTGTTTGTCTCATTATACTTGTGATGATCAAATTTCAGTAATTGTCCTTAATAAATGCTAAAGAAAACCTCTAAAAACATACATCTATCTTCCTACATTGGTAAAAATTCTTCATAAGCATGCAAGACATAATATTTTAACCAAAGTGTTCATAAACATGCTTAATATATTTGAACTTAATTCTAAATATATCAAAAACTTACTGCGAACACACGTTAGGTATAATTCTAAGTTGATTATTCTGAAGACAGTATGATGTCCTCATCATAAGTGCGTGTGTATGTGTGTGTATGTATGTGTGTGTGTGTGAGCACTGAAGACAGAGGCAGTTGTTGTTTTATTGATTCAGCAGAGACAAAACCTCCCACTAGGATTCCCATGTTTGTTTGCTGGAGAATCTCGTGATTAAAGCAGCTTTAGATACCACAAACATCTTAAAGGGAGAGCACTTCTGTTCTTAGATCTTTAAAATGTCATGCTGGTGTATAAATGTGTTTTTAGTGCACGACGGAATAGGAAACTACTCGTGCAAGGAAATCCTTAAAGGGATAGTTCACCCAAAAAAAGTTAAATATTTTACTATTTGGTCTCCCTCAAGTTGTTCCAAATCTCTATGAGTTTCTTTCTTCTGTTGAACACAAAAGAAGATATTTTGAAGAATGTTGAAAACCTGTAATCATTGACTTCTATAGTAGAAAAAACAAATACTATGGAAGTCAATGGTTACTGGTTTCCTACATTCTTAAAAATTTCTTTTTTTATTGTTCAACAAATGAAATAAACTCAAACAGATTTGGAGCAAGTGAAAGGAGAACTTGCAGTTGAATTTCTCTACTTGCGCAGGGAAATCCTTAAAGGGATAGTTCACCCCAAATTAAAAATAACTCGCTATTTAGTCTCGTTTGAGTTGTTGCAAACATTTATGAGTTTCTTTCTTTTGTTAAACACAAAAGATGATATTTTGAAGAATGCTGGAAAGCCTGTAACCATTGACTTTCATTGTAGGACAAAGCAAATATTATGGAAGTCAATGGTTACCGGTTTCCAACGTTCTTCAAATTATCTTCTTGATTGTTCAACAAATGAAATAAAGTAAAACAGGTTTAGAACAAGTGAAAGGAGAAGAACTTTCAGTTGAATTTCTCTACTCATGCAAAGAAACCCTAAAGGGATAGTTCACCCAAAAAATAAAAATAACTCACTATTTGGTCTCCCTGAAATTGTTCCAAACCTTTAAGAGTTTCTTCTGTTGAACACAAAAGATGGTGTTTTGAAGAATGCTGAAAAGCCTGTAACCATTGACTTTCACTGTAGGACAAAACAAATACTATGGAAGTCAATGGTTACCTGTTTCCAACATTCTTCAAAATATCTTCTTTTGTGTTCAACAAATGAAATAAAAACAAGTGAGGTGAGAAGAACTTTCAGTTTTGGGTGAACTGCTACTTTAAAAGAAACCTTTCCCACCATGCTGATTTCCCCTTTAGAGCTTCCTAAAATGTGCAATACGTGAAATTAGGGCTTCATAATATTATAAAAGTCTAAATAAATTGAATAATAAATGTTATATAACATGGTAATCATTGTATATATTTGGGCTGCGCGATATTGAAACAATGTGACATTGCAATAATTTGTTTTACTGCATTATATACTGTGATATAAACGACTTTAATAGCTGTATTTGGACATAATTCATTACTTAGTGATGATTCTGGAAGGGATTGAATCATTTGCATAAAATGTATAAAAACTAATTAATTTCAGACATTGCTGAATACAGTGGGTTAACTAAAAAAAAAAGTGCTTTATAATTTTCTCAGGAGTTTCCTCTTCCTATAGTATTCAGCTACAGAAATCGACTAATGAAATGTAAAACAGCACTGAATAGTCTTCATCATATTAATAATACTATAAATTGAACCTTTATTAAAGTTACAAACTCTTAACATTTATTGTGCCTGAATGCTTTAAACTCTCCTGCTTTAAAAACACATGCAAGTGATCAGTTTTTACTCTATTATGGTTTGCATTTGTGGTTCCTGGAAAACTATAATATCAACTCAACACTGCAGATCCTGCGATGTCACCATTGCGTATGCCAGGGGTGTCCAAACTCAGTCCTGGAGGGCCGGTGTCCTGCACAGTTTAGCTCCAACTTCCTTTAACACACCTGCCTGGAAGTTTTTTCGTACACCAAGAAAGAGCTTAGCTGGTTCAGGTGTGTTTAATAGGGGTTTTGGAACTAAAATATGCAGGACACCGGCCCTCCAGGACCGAGTTTGGACACCCCTGGTGTATGCACACATGCAGTATTGATGCTGAAATGATATATTAATAAAAATAACGTTTTGTTACAACAGTACTATTTCTTGCCTGAATACTTTAAACTCCTGAAATGCTCAAGGAAAGACTTAAAAACACATGCAAATCATAATCTTTCACTCTGTTGAAGTTGATCTGTGCAGCGACTCCGATCTCATGTGTTCTGCTCTGTTATAAATCCAGCACTGCAGATGTGACTATTGCGAATGCACACATTGCGATATCGATGTTGAGACGATTTATTGTGCAGCCCTACTACAAATGCATTTTAAAAAGCATGCATTCTCTTCTCATTTGTGTGCGTGTTTATGACTTGTGAAGCTGCGCATCGATGGATTTGCTCTTTTGATTGGAATTTTAACATTGAAATTTAAACTAAACTGAATTGAACTTGTTACAAACCCCTGATGTTAGTCTAGGGTGTGGGGTTTGACATTTATTTAATTAAAATATATTTATATAAACAGTGAATGAGTGGAAAGACAACCAAAGTAATGCCAAAATATGTGTGCTTTTATTTACAATCCCAAAGTGAACAACAACAACGAATAAATCAAAAATAAAGAAAAAGTAGGTAAAGCAAAAATATACTATTTACAATATGTACAACACTGAAACAAATAAAGACGGGAAAAACAAGAGAGCTGGCAGAAGGGACGCGGGCGGCGCTAAAGAAATGAAAAGAACAAAACCCAAACTAAATCTAACTTCCCAGAAGCATCTAGCCAACTAACTATGTGAAAAAACAGTATAATTAACACACGAAGATCTTCCGAGTTCCTAACTATCTACTCTATCTATCTATCCAAAAAGTACAAGGAGTGGCGCTCGCCCCTAACCTAGTGTACTAGACAGCAGAGTAGTCCTATGTGTTGCGAAATGTATGTCACGTGACCTTCTTACCTGTCCGCTTCGTCCAAGCCTCGTAAACGACGATAAACTAAGAACAATGTACAAATAACGGACGGATAACGTGCACACAGAAACAAGCAACAACAAAATACACAGTTAGACAGGGTTATCTCTTTTATATAAACTTTTACTCTGAAAACTGGACTAACACTGGGGCTTCAACAACGATTACTAAAGCGTTGGCAACCAATATCATAATCGATTTGTTGTGTCATGTGACGTTTGATTATTAAAAAAAAACACTTTAGTTCAGCGCGGAGCGGAGTGAACACAGTCTCTCTTGCGCACTGATACAGAGTTCGGCGCCTTATAGACAGGGATGAGGAGGAAGGGAGTTCAACAGCAGGGTCCTACTTTTGTTCAGTTTTGAAGTGAGGACAATCAAACTGAGCTTCGGTGCGATGTCTGTGCGCTGAGCAGAGCTCTCAGTAAGGAACCGTCGGAAAAGTGCTTCTTTTTTTTCGTTTATTTTTTCGAAAACATAACTAACTCAACCCCGCTAAGAAAGACGTGTCATATTATCACAATTATGCAGCGTTTTATCCGTGGAAAGGCTGATTTATACTTCTGCGTCAAGTGCTTGCGTATGTTACGGCGCAGCATACGCGTTGACGCATAGCCCTACGCCATGGCCGTCGCTGACGTGCACCTCTCAAAAAATGTAACTACACATCGCAACGACGCGTATCACAAGCTCTGTGATTGGTTGGCTTGGTAGCACTGACGAGTCAGGGCGGGACCGAGAGCCGTGCGAGCAGCGCTAGCCTGATAGACTGTAGTTCGTGAATAAGCTCTGTATGGATAGTTTTGTTTTGTGTTTACTTTATAGTTGAAGTTGTTGCATGTCCGCCAGTTCTTGACCTCTAAATGAGCGAGTTTGAGCCAGTTGTACTTTCAGGAAGCGTTCAGAAAAAACAAAACAGCAGCGAAGAAACTCGACACTGAGGAACATTTACACCTCACTGCCAACTAGCATTTCGGAAGTGTTAATGCAGACCAACAGAGACAGCACGCAGAAGTGTAAATGCACAGCTACGTGAGTTGCATGCGCCGTGGGTCACGCCGGTCACTTAATGCAGAAGTATAAACCAGGCCTAATGCTTCATTTGTGTTTTAGACATGTAAATACGCACAAGTACTAGTAAAACAAAACATTTCTAAGAGTTTGTAAAACACAAGGAACTCTAACAATCCATTCAAATACAATTTGCCGATGTGTTTTATTCATGTCAGATACACATAGTGAAAGTAACTATAAAGTTGAATCTACTCGTCTCTAAGTTCACTGAGTAACTGGTGACTTTAAGTGCTGAATCCTGCTTGTTCTGCTTTTTATGAATGAGGCAAACGTGCCGCCGCATGTAAACATGGCGACGACCATCTCATGTTATAGATCACGATCACTTACACGTTTATGTGAACTGGTAAAGCTTCTGTTTGAGATTATGGGCCCTATCATACACCCGGCGCAGTGTGTCGCAAGGCGTGACGCAATAGTCTTTTGGTAGTTTCAGCTTGGCGCAAGAGTCGTTTTGAGGCGTTGCGCTACGCTGTTTAAATAGCAAATGCATTAGCGCTCATTTGTGAACCCATAGGCGTTCTGGTCTAAAAAAGAAGGTGTTCTGAGGCGGACCGCTGGCGCGTTGCTATTTTGAGAATCTATAATAGATTTTTCATTAGACCAAAACTAACCCGGTCTAAACTCCAGCGCAGAGTTGCGCCTCGCTTACACACTGCTTAATACACACAAGAGAGCAATAGGCAAACATCTTTACATATGAAAAAAAAATTAAAATTAAGGATATATATAGGATATAATAAGAATAGATATAGGATATAAATATAAAGGATTAAAATATTACAAAACATATTATTTTTTCTAGCCTACATAAATATGAAAAATCACTGCTTTTATGTCTTCTTCATCTCGGGAGGCTTTTTCAGTTCATTCATAACAATTTGCTTTTGTATAATGTTATTATTATTAGCAGTATTATTTATTATATCCATATTTATATTTGTTTTATTAAAACAAGCTTAGATTTGCCCACCTGTCAGGTTTTAGACCATATGGGGCATGGCAGGTGTATTTGGAAATAACTCAGTATTTTGACCACACTGGGTCATTATTGTTCATTTATTCGTTTGCTAGAAATTAGAACTGAATTTAGAAATAGTTTTGAAACGAATATTTGCGCTTAACAAAAAATTAATTATTTATAGACTAATTGATGTCTGTGTGTAAAGGTTTCCCTATCCAAGAGCGAATGTGAAAGTAGATCCATTATCTCTCATTCTCACGCAGTAGATGCTCTGTTTAACTGTTTTCTGGGAACTGTTTTCTTGTGAAATGCTCAGTTTTTCCTCTTAGACTTACTTTACGTCCTGTAAATAGCGAATGCGCTCTTGGCGCGACGCAGCTGACTCTTAAAGGGAATGGGAGATGAGACTCTAATTGGTTTATTCTCAAAACACACCTATAACTCATTAAGAAAATAAACTCAACCCTTTTAGACCATGCGCCGAAGCGCAAGGCAGATTTCCCGTCCTTAAATTAGCAAAAACGCATCTTGACACCCCCTGAAAGCATTTGTGCTATGCGCTTTGCGCATGGACCGTCAAAATAGAGCCCTATATCTCATTAAATTTATTTTTCTTAGACAATTCGAAAATAATTTAACTTTAAGCTAACAGTCACTTATATTTGAGGTGGGGTTTTTTTCAGAAAGCAAGAATTTCTTGTGTCTAGTATGTATCTTGATTTAAAAATACTTAGATATTTGGATTAAAAACAGGACAAACTACTTAGTTTTTTATTTCATTATTATTATTATTATTATAAAATTCAGGATTGAGCTTTTTTGAATAAACAGTTGGAAATTAATGCTTTTTTAAAAATCCGATTCATTGATTAATCAAAAAATAATCAACAGATTAATCAACTATTAAAATAATCGTTAGTTGCAGCCCTAACTGACACTGTTTCAATTTACTAGAACTTCTATATTAAGCTACTTTGACACGATTGACATTGTAAAAGCGCTATAGAAATAAACATGAATTGTGTTTTTGCAAGCATCTAATCCTCTCCTCGACTGTGCTTTCTTTCAGTTCTTCTTATGCTCCGTCTATGTTCCCATGTGCACGGAGAAGGTGCCCATCCCGATCGGGCCGTGCGGCAGCATGTGCATGTCCGTCAAACGGAAGTGTCTCCCAGTTCTCCAGGAGTTTGGCTTCGTGTGGCCGGAGCTCCTAAACTGCAGCCTTTTCCCGCCTACCAACGACCAGAATCACATGTGCATGGAGGGTCCCGGAGACGAGGATCCGCCATTTCACGCTGTCCGTCCTGTGGCGCCGCAGGAGGAGGAGTGCATTGCTTTGGGTGCCGGCGTGGAGCAGTATGCATGGGTGAAGCGCAGTGGGAGCTGCTCGCTGCAGTGTGGATATGACACGGGATTGTATCGCAGACAAGCTAAAGTCTTCACGGATGTGTGGATGGCGGTTTGGGCGGTCCTCTGCTTTATTTCTACCACGTTCACCGTGCTTACATTCCTAGTCGACTCCTCTCGGTTTTCCTATCCAGAAAGACCGATCATTTTCCTCAGCATGTGCTGCAATATTTATAGTGTGGCGTTCATCGTGCGGTTAACAGTCGGTCGCGAACGCATTTCTTGCGATCTGGAGGAAGCAGCAGTACCAGTGCTAGTGCAGGAGGGGCTTAAGAACACAGGTTGTGCCATCGTTTTCCTCCTTACGTATTTCTTCGGCATGGCCAGCTCCATCTGGTGGGTGATCTTAACGCTCACGTGGTTTTTGGCGGCGGGCTTGAAATGGGGTCACGAGGCCATCGAAATGCACAGCTCATACTTCCACATAGCAGCATGGGCGATTCCTGCCGTCAAGACTATCGTCATACTCATCATGCGATTAGTGGACGCTGACGACCTCGCAGGGATGTGTTATGTGGGAAACCAGAATCTTGATGCGCTCACTGGATTCGTTGTCGCACCGCTTTTTACATATCTGGTCATCGGAACGCTGTTTATTGCTGCCGGCTTGGTGGCGCTGTTTAAGATTCGCTCCAATTTACAAAAAGACGGAACGAAGACGGATAAACTAGAAAGACTGATGGTGAAAATTGGTGTTTTTTCTGTGCTATACACGGTGCCGGCTACTTGCGTCATTGCGTGCTACTTTTATGAAATCTCCAACTGGGCTGACTTTCGTCAGACAGCACGGGATTCGTACATGGCGGCGGAGATGCTGCGGATTTTTATGTCTTTGCTTGTTGGAATCACGTCAGGAATGTGGGTCTGGTCTGCAAAGACACTTCACACATGGCAGAGATGTTCCCACCGGCTTGTGCACACCGGCCGAAATAATCGCGTCAAACGGACTGCCAATGGCTGGGTCAAACCGGGCAAAGGAAACGAGACGGTTGTGTGACCTGCACCCGCAGATACTCTTGTCATGTAGCACTATCGTTCGCTCACTTTACGCAAAACGTTCTTAAAGATGATCTTACACTGGACGGTCCTGATGCAGCAGTTTTTTTTCGTGTAAATATGCACTATGCCTAACTTCAAACTCTCACTGAAGTGCCTTCGTTTGTACCGACAAGCTACTCAACCCAACCTGGTGCTGGATTCTGGGAAATGTAGTTTTTTTTTTGCTCCTCAGTGCCGTTTACCTCGCAATACGTGAACTCCTGTGACAGAACGCTTACGAAACCTGATCAAACTGCACAGCAAACATGAATTTCTCACTTCATGTTTTTGGCTTGTTCTCCAGTACAAAAGAGACAAAATCTAAATTAAATCTAATTATATTGTTTTCTTAAGTTACAAACGTACAACAAAAACTAAATATAAGATATTTGTACTAAAAAATATTTCAAGATGACTATCAAATTTTTTTTTGTTTGAAAAACATAGTAAACTTAAGTGAGTTTATGGATAAAACTATAATAAATATCAACATTTTTCAGGAAATAACTTATCGAAAATATCGAAAGTCATTTTGCTTTGAGTTTTTAACAACTATTAGATATTATACTAGAAAACAATTCAAGATAACAATTGATTAATTGCTTTCTGAAAAACATTAACTTAAGTGTGTTTATGGATAAAACAATAAAAGATATCTGACCTTTTTCTGAAAATTTTCTTAATATCGAAAGTCATTTTGCATTGAGTTTTTAACAACTATTAGATATGTGTAGTCAAACAATGTAAGTTAAATTCTTATGTATTGTTTTCTGAAAATCGTAGCAAACTTTAAAAAAAAAATACATATCTAGGACTCCAAGACTCTAAATTTTAAGTCGCCTTGCTTTTTTCTTTTCTTTTTGGAGTATTTAACAACAATTTTATATTAACAACGCAAAATGACATGGATAAAAAATGTTAAAACAAGTACAAATATCTGAAATTTAGCTTTTTAAACATTTATTCTATATTTATACTAGAAAATGAAGATGACTTAAGTCTGATATGTTTTTCATTTTAAGTCATCTTGCTTCATTATCAAAATGACTCAATATAAAGTTTTTTTCTGATAAATGTCAGATATTTGTTAATGTTTTAGCCATAAACTCGCTTGGGTTTGATAGGAAACAATGCATCTTAGGCAATTTTAATAATTTTCTAGTACAAATATAGTACAGTTGGTCTTAAAAAAAGCAAAATAAGCCATTTTAGTTTTTTTCTTTCTGAAAATTGTCAGATATTTGTTACTGTTTTAGCCATGAACTCACTTAAGTTTGATAGTAAACAATGCATCTTAGGCAGTCTTACTTAATTATCTAGTACAAATATAGTACAGTTGTTTGTAAAAAATAATAATAATTATTATTAGTTTTATAATATTAGTTTAGCCATATTAGTTTTTTTTCTTGAAAAATGTCAGCTATTTGTTATTGTTTTAGCCATTAACTCACTTAAATGCATTGTTTTTGAACATGTATCAAACCTAAGTGAGTTCATGATTAAATATAATACAAACATGCTATAGTTGTTCAAAAAAGCTAAATTACTTAAGTTTTTTCAAAAAAATGTCATATATTTGTAATTGTTTTAAGCATAAACTCACTTAAGATGCAGTTTTCAAACATGTATCAAAATTAAGCGAACTCATGATTAAATCAAGAACAAATATAGTATAGTTGTAAAAAAAGCTAAATTAGTAAATATGAAGTTTTTTTCCTGAAAAATGATATTGTGAAACAATATCAAATGAGATTTGATATTGTTTCAACCATAAACTCACTTAAGATGCAATGTTTTTAAACATGTAACAAACTTAAGCAAGTTCATAATAAATCTAGTACAAATGTAGTTTAAAAAAAGCAAAATGACTCGATATTAAGGTTTTTTACTGAAAAAATGTCAGACATTTGCTATCGTTTTAACTATAAACTCATTTAAGATGCAGTTTTCAAAAATGTATTAAACTTAAGTGAGTTCATGATTAAAATAAGTGCACATATAGTAGCAAAAAAGCTAAATTAGTCAATACTATTATTTTTTTTCCTGAAAAATGTCAGATATTAGTTATTGTTTAAACCATAAACTCACTTAAGATGCATTATTTTTAAACATGTATCAAACTTAAGCGAGTTCATAACTAAATCTAGTACAAATATAGTATAGTTGTTAAAAAAAGATAAATGACTTGCAATATTTTGTTTATTTTTTTCTGAAAAATGGCAGATATTTGTTATCGTTTTAACCATAAACTCACTTAAGATGCATTACTTTCAAACATGTATAAAACTTAGGCGAGTTCATGATTAAGTCTAGTACAAATATAGTATAGTTGTTTTAAGAAGCAAAATTAGGCAATATTAAATCTTTCTCTCAAAAAATGTTAGATATTTGTTAATGTTTTAGACATAAACTCACTTAAGTTTGATAGAAAACAAGGCATCTTAAGTCATCATACTTCATTTCTACTGCAAATATAGTACAGTTGTTTTAAATAAGCTAAATTAGTAAATACTAAGATTTTTCCTGAAAAGTTACTTATGTTTGTTAATGTTTTAGCCATAAACTCACTTAAGATGCATTGTTTTGAACATGTATCAAACTCAAGTGAGTTCAGGATTAAATATAATACAAATACATTATAGTTGTTAAAAAAGCAAAATTAGTAAACATTAAGTTTTTTTTCTGAAAATTGTCAGATATTTGTTACTGTTTTAACCATAAACTCACTTAAGATGCATTGTTTTCAAGTATCAAATTTAAGCGAGTTCATGTTTAAATCTAGTACAAATATAGTATAGTTGTTAAAAAAGCTAAATTAGTAAATATTAAGTTTATTTTTTCCTGAAAATTTTCATATATTTGTTATTGTTTTAGCCATAAACTCACTTAAATGCATTGTTTTTAAACATATATCAAACTTAAGCGAGTTCATGATTAAATCTAGTACAAATATAGTATAGTTGTTAAAAAAGCAAAATATGCCAATATTAACTTTTTTTCTGAAAAATGTCAGATATTTGTTATTGTTTTATCCATAAATTCACTTAAGATGCATCGTTTTCAAACAAGTATCAATTTTAAGCGAGTTCATGATTAAATCTAGTACAAATAAAGTATAGTTGTTGAGAAAGCTAAATTAGTAAATATTAAGTTTATTTTTTCCTAACATTGTTCATATATTTGTTATTGTTTTAGCCATAAACTCACTTAAGATGCATCGTTTTTAAACAAGTATCAAACTTAAGCGAGTTCATGATAAAAACGAGTACAAATATCAGACATTTTTCAGAAAACAAGACTTAATCTCTGGACATTCTGCTTTGAGTATTTTACAAACATTAGATATTTGTTCCCGGAAACAAGGCAAAAATACTGGGTAAGAAAATAATTGGCAGTGCTGGTTTACACTTAATGTTGGAAATGTTTTATTATTTTTATTGTGAAATGAGAATGTGAGCAGGTTGAAATGCAAGAGAAGTATATGTAGAGGTTGCTTAATAACAAGCCACTGCAGTTCTACTGTTTTAAGATGCCTCAAACTTGTGCAAATTTCCAAATTGCCACAAAAAGTTGTCAAGAGCTAAAAAAAAAAGGCTTTATAAATGACTGCGCAGAGATTTCACTATAGTTGACCTTTAATATTTAGTTATTTTTGATATGACAAAGTTATGATGCTTGTTTTGTTGTGTTTTTGTTTGCGCTGTCAGACACACTTTCACTCTGAATATGACACATGACAATCACTGAGCGGGCCTCCATAGGGGCTCCCGTAGGGTCGCTGAATGTACTGACCGAAGAAAAAAAGGTTTTATTTTTATACACGAACAATTGAAGAAGTGCCTCACATGCCGGTGGTACAGTCCTGGATTTCATGAAGGACTTCTGGATCGATTTGTACATAAACTGATGTTTGTTAGTTGTTGTTTTTGTGTTATGAAATGCTAATTTATCTTTGTAAAAAAAAAACTAAGGAAGTGAACAAAAATGAATTTATTTAAGAATGCTTTTGTATCGAATGACAAAAATTAAACGTTGAAAACAAGTTTCAAGAGCTGTTGTGCATCTTTTGTTCAATTTTAATAATCCCTCTGTAGGTTTACATCTTCAAACGCCTTGTGACCCGAGTAAATCTGTATTATGTGGCCGGGAATTAAAGGATTGTTTTGAGCATTAGGTAGCAAATCTCTCAAACTTTTTAGGTCGTTTTAAAATCCCTCCACCCAGAAGTGATTTGCACAAACAAAAAAATATATAATAAATTTCCTCCGGTCCAACTTCCCCTCTCGGGGTCACCACACCCGTCCCAGCCCGGCTCTTGTTAAGAGAGTGTCATAAGGTTTCATGGTTAGTTAAAATGTTTTAACGGTCTGACAAAACCACCATGATTAAGCAGTAAAACACTAAACACAGATATACATTATTAACGTGGGGATTTTTACGACCTCATTTCATGACCCATAACAGTTGGGTAAACTCTTAGCTTTGAGTAAGCACAGGCATTAATCTTATGACTGGATTAAAATGTGGTAAACGGTCAAATCAGGCAATTAATAATAGGATGCTGCTCCCTGCTGGTCATTTGAAGCACTGCCATTGCATTAAATAAGAGTAAAACATTTGTTTAAATCCGTGCAATCCTATAAAATCATTCAATTTTTACCATTTTCCTCAGAAGCAGTCAAGTAATATTTGGGAGGCTTGAATTGACTTCATAATTCCTAACTAAAAGCACTGACTTTGATAAAGCCTGTTATAATGAGGTTAGAAAGACTTAAGTTATGAAAGCAAAATTGTGACATTGGATCTCAAAACAAGTCTTATGATGCATGAGTATATTTTTGGCAACAGATAAAATACATTATATACAGTGCTCAGCATAATTGAGTATACACCATTTTGAAAATGTATATTTTTCTACATTTCTCAGTGAATTTGGGTAATATATGAAGAGTTCCGATGCAAAAAACTTAAATTTCCATCACATATGAATTTTTTTTCAGCCTCCTTTATTTATGTTGAGATATTTCACTTTTAAAACCAGGAAAATTACTTATTCTTTGCCAAAAAGCAATATTACTGAATATACACACAGGAGTCGGATAAAAATGCTCATTTCAGAGAAATATTTCAGATGGCATTTAGAGGTTTTTGCATCTAAACTCTTCATATATTGATGCATTTGACCCAAACAGATTTATTAAACAGATATATTTATTAAAATAATAGTTTAGTCGCAGAACATTTTTAGAAATGGAAAGATAATATATTTAAATTCATGCAAAATATTGCAAAATTACAAACTACAACATTTCAACAAAATTGTATATGTTTTTTTTTCTCTTGATTTATGCTATTTTAAACATTTTATTAATGTTTAACATATAAATTTGGGCTACTCACTTTTGAACTGTAATCATAAGTTATTTTGTTAGATTAGGTCCAGATTTGGCTTTAGTACTGACTAATCTAATGTATATGCACAAATATTGTTAAATAGTAATTATAGAAAATATTCATTTAAATGAGAGATTTGTGGGGGTGTATTCATATATGCTAAGCACTGTTAAAATTATATATATTTTTCCTTTATGGTAAATATCATTAGGATATTAAGTGGTCAGGGTCACACATATACATATATACATACATACATACATATACATACATATACATATACATACATATACATATAAATATACACATATATATATATATATATATATATATATATATATATATATATATATACACATATATACATACATACATACATACATACATACATACATACATACATACATACATACATACATACATACATACATACATACACACACACACACACACACACACACACACACACACACACACACACACACACACACACACACACACACACACACACACACACACACACACACACACACACACACACACACACACACACACACACACACACACACACATATATATATATACATATCTCAGGGTTGAACGCTAAGAATTTTTTCTATATGATTCAGATATTTACTTGCCATGGCAAACTTTTCACTGGCCCCACCCAAAAACAAAGAGAAGTAAATAGCTATTTTAGCCACATATTTTAAATAATGTGTAAAAAATAATGTCTGTGAATCTAGAATTTAAACATTTTTAAAAAGTTAATAAATGTATAATGAGCAAAAAGTGTTATGCAAACAAAAAGTGTATTATGGAAAATGTGCAGGTATTTTATAGCAGTTTGAAATTACTTAACAAAAGGTGGCTGACATGCCAAACTGATGGCAAATTGTGCAAAACATCACTTCATTTTTTTCGTTGTGTTGTTCCCACATTAATGTCTGCTTCCAAGATGCTACAAACAGACATTTTCTTTTACCCTTATAGTTTGATTTTGCCACCATGTTGCCGTCACATCACTGTACTGGTTGTTACCAGATTACGGGGAAAAAAAGGAGCATGCTCACGACGTCAATTCAGATAAGAAACCGAAAAGCAATACGGTGTTTACGACATCACAGAGAAGGTAGCGCGCACCCTGTCAAACAACCCAACAGCTGAGCGGGACTGCAAAATAAACCAAGAAACTCTGACCAATGAGAGGAGAGTTTACTCACACGTGTTTTAGCTATTTTGGTCCGTTTAGAAAATTTGCAGTGTGAATGCGCACCAAGAACAAAGAGCAACAATGTAGCAATTTTAATCCCTGTTTCGGATCAAATGAATCGATTCACAGGTGTGAAAGCACCCTTAATCAGCATATCATCATCTCAAAAACATTGCAAGAATCAGATGCTTTGTTTCCAGTGAAGATTTAGAGAAACTTGTTCATGATTTTATCAGCAGCAGGATGGATTACTGTAACGGCCTCCTCACGGGCCTTCCCAAAAAGACAGTCAGACAGTTACAGCTCACCATCCAGAATGCTGCAGCCAGGATTCTGACCAGAAGCAGGAAATCAGAGCACATCACACCTGTCCTCAGGTCTTTACACTGGCTCCCAGTTACATTCAAAATGGAGTGTAGAGAATTACTACTTGTCTTTAAATCACTAAAAGGCCTAGGATCTCAATACATTACAGATATGCTCACTGAATACAAACCTAACAGATCACTCAGATCACTAGGATCAAATAAACTAGAAACTCCAAGAGTTCTGTCAAAGCAGGGTGAATTGGCCTTCAGCTACTAACAGCGCCAACATTAGACACATTCAAATCAAGAATGAAAACCCATCTGTTTAGCTATGCCTTTACTGAATGAGCACTGTGCTACGTCTGACAGATCGCACATTTATATCTTTTTTTTTGCTTTTTCATTCTTTTATAAACTGTTTAACACATTTTAACCTGTTTTAAAAAAAAATTATTCTTTGTTGTTTTTATTTTCTTTCACGCGTTATATTTATTCCTGTTTATGTAAAGCACTTTAAATTACCATTGTGTATGAAATGTGCTATATAACCCCTTCTTAATCAGTCCAAAATATCACTCTCAGAAAAAAAATATTTAATCGTAATTAAAAATGAATAATAATCATTTAAAAAATCATTGACATCATATACGTCATTAACACAAACCCTAATTCACAAAACCCAGTGTGAAGACACATTGCGGTGAATGATTAAGGTTATTAAATAAACAAATAAGTAAAACCCGTGAGATTGGAGGTAAGTTAGTTACAGTAGGTTAACATTAAATGTACAATTCTGAGTGATCACAAAACACTGAAATTAATTCCTTTTATGTCATAGATTTTTTTTTTGTGTAACTTAGTGTGAAAACGTTTATTATGAAACATGCTAGCGGAGTTAGCAAACAGCGGATTAATTACATTGTTCAGATACAATTATTTGTAAACATTTACTTACAGAAATCTCTTGGAAATGATCTGGACACTCAAGAGCAGGCAAAGTAGTGTCATCTCAAGTGGATTCATCTGTCATTTGACTACTAACACACTAATATTGCTGATAGTTAAACTTGTAAACAGCGTTAAAAAAATACCGTCGACGTAAATTAGCCAAAGCCCGTTTACGTGTTGCAAACGCCAAGTTGTTGTTGATGCCATGCGCTAATTAACATATTAATGACGTCATCACGCCGCATCGACTCTTCATTTTTGATAAAATCAAATGGCAATGATGCTTTAAATTATAGTGTTTGTAAAAATAATATATGAAACACGAATATATTTGTATTGTATAAATAATATAATTATTATATAATGTAAAATACACGTTTGGTCTGAGCTATTAACATTTATTTCCTTCAAAAACTAAAATAAAAAGCTGCGTGACATAATTAATTTTATAATTATGATCATAATATAAAATATATTGCAAATGTATACAATATATTACAAATGTATTCAATTTGCTGATAAACGACTTGATATAATACAGAATAATACATAATACAAATGAAACATTACCTCACAAAATCACTAAAAACACATGGTAAACATATGTATATATATTTATATCACCCAAATGACGAAGTATTCTTGTCAAAACCTGGATAAACCCTGCTGAAAAAACAGCTTAAAACAGCCTAATCTGGTTGGCTGCTTTAAGCTGGTTGACCAGCCAAGCAGCCTATGCTGGTTTAAGCAGTTTTTGTTTAGTAGGGAAAGTAGCAGTAAAAACGTATACTGGGTTATTTTGATAATTTTATTAGACGTGAGCTCCCTCTACTGGTTAAAACTGACAAAACTACACATCCTGAGTGGAAATGATTTAGTTAAAAATAATATTTAGATAAAATCTTCTAAATTTCAAGCAACTTAATCAAATAAACCAGCTTTACTGATCTAAATAACCTCTGACTTTGAGATGCAAGTAATGAAATCAGTCAGGGAACATCAATAAAAACAAAACGCATCATTTATTTCAACTTTATTAAGAAAGACAATAATTTAGTCATAAATTACAAAAAAGTAAACCGTACATTCAATATCAAGCAGTCAGAAAGCAAAGTGCATAAGATATTTCCAAACTGGAAACAGTTTAGACATTTAAAACTCTGTTTACTCTCACCCTGAGAACTTA